GCGGGGGGGGGGGGGGGGGGGGCAACTTCCCCCGGGGTCCACCTATGCCACCTGTAGATGTTTGCAACAGTATGTCCCATGTTATGTTCAAACTCAAAAATGTTCCTTATTGAAATGGAATTTGATTAATCTTTTATTTCAGCTCCTACTGAAGACAACTTAAATACGTTCGTGGAATACGTGTGGACGTTTAATATTTCCCGAATAATAATGCTCACACCGACTGTAACATATAACACGGTAGGTTTAAAGCCTGCAAACATTGCACGTGGATAGCAACCAACAAGTATTTATTTTAACGTAACTTGTCCACAATATGGATCAAATGGAGTAACAATGCAATTTTTCATATCACTCCTCATTAATAATAATAATAATAGTAACTTTAAAAAAACTACATCTACTGCTATTTCCGTTGCTGCGAATTAACTGCCCACAAGTGTTGTGTATATAACTTGACATTTTTTCTATGGGCACTGCGTAAATATAAACACATATTGTTAAGGAAACAATTTTGTGGTTCAATTTTCTACTTAGCGTCACTGCTATGAGTACTGGCCTACGTCTGTAAAGCTGCCTCTCAACTGTGGCGACATCCAGATAGAGCTGGTGGCCTCAGTGACCCGTGCAGAGTGGATCAAGAGAACTTTAAGCTTGAGAAAGGTACGGTGGTGTCCCCTGCTACTTTTACAACAGCTTTGGATACTTACTTTACATCAGGACAGGCAGAAGTTAGTTGGCTAAATGGAATTAAAATTCAAGACCGTTTCACGTAATTAAATTGCACGATAAGGTCAAGGGACCAGTTATTATTCTAACATCAATGCGCAAGGCTTAAAACATTTGGAGACTTGAAACTTGAAAACGCGGCCCCGTATGAGTAGATTCAGTTACCATTAGAACTAAGGAATAGAGTGTCAGCAAATGATTCTTAAAAATTACTGAAAACTTATATTTTATAACAAAAATTATTACTGAATATTTATACTTTACAGATAATTATAATTGGACATTTTCTCTTTACTTTTAATACGATCACTTTTTTATTTAAGATAATTTTTTAACTTTGCATTTTATTTGTAAAGTCTACAGAGCATTTTTTATTTTAGACCCTAAACAAACAAACAAACAAACAAACAAATAAATAAATAAATAAATAAATAATTATTATTATAAACCCCATCAGTTTTTAGAAGAAAAAAAAACACAGGCAGGTGCCTAGTCCTTTGAAGAAATAACCGTTTGTTTTGGGCCATTTGAAATGAGTTTGCAAGTTGGTCATAATCTTTCATTCTCACCCTTCACGCCGGGTTCTCTTGCTATTCTTTGCACAGGAAGGTTTTGGGTCTCCCAGACAGATAGAACAATACCAGTTCAAATCCTCGCCTGACACGTGTGTGGATCCTTCTGTGCTGCTTAGCGTGCGACGGTACATACTTAAGTCCAAGAGAACTCGCAATGCCCCATGCGGCCCTGTACTGGTGCATGGAGGGTAGGTTGGGCCCCTATGGCATCATTCAGAATAGGGGACTAACTTGTCCGGGGGTCAAATATGGCCGACCCATTTGAATACTTCCCCACGGGATATCTATTCAATGTCTTGATCAGACGACAAGCTTTGTGGTGGGTCGCCATTTTTGAACATCGGACTAGTTAGTCCCCTATTCTAAATGGGGCCTATTCAACAGAGTAGGGCAAAAATCGTACCCAAGACAATTGTAAAGAATATCAGGTCCTTATAATGAGAGACCAATAGAATACAAAACCATGTTGTTACATTGTTCTCACAGTTTTAGCAAATCATCTGCATGCTCATGTTGCGTCGGAAGACAGTATATATATTAATATTAGCGTAATCATTGTTTATTTACATTCAGACATAATTTTGACATGGCGGGCACATACATTGCTATAGAAGAGAGCCTGGACAGAATGGAAGACACCAAAAGCGTCCAGATATTTAACTTTGTATTACATCTTAGAAAGAAAAATCCTAGGATGGTGGAAACGCTTGTAAGTTAATAAGTTGATATCTTGTCCCCGGGACTAGCAGTCTTTCAAAATTTTAGTTAAAAGTGCCATTTATGCTCATCGCGAGTCGACTGAATAATGTCCCGGCGTGTCTTTAACTGAAAACATTTTAGTAAATTTATTCCATTCGTTCTTGTAATGATCTTATGACAGTTCTATTGTGGGCGTATGTATTTTATCATTTACCTGTATGAGGTGGCTAATAAGTAAATAAATGACATGTTTATATATAAATAGTAAGATATGGATTGATCATCAGATATTTTGAGCCTTCAGTGAATCTGGCAGTATTAATCTGTAGGTGTCATTAATATATTAATATATTAATCTATTTTCTATGTAAATTTTTGTATGATTTATTTTGCTTGCAGCAAAGTTACCAACTTATCTACCAAACCGTTATCTTGCATACTCTCTGTGATGAAACTTCTCTGACAAGAAATAAAATGGACGGCCTACTGAAATTCTTACTTCTTCGCTGTCCAGATTCAGGCAAATCTGGTTTTGACGTAGAATTTGGGGTGAGACCCACTGCGAAGCAAACTTATAGACCTTTTTAGAATGGGGGGGGGGGGGGATAATCCGAGGCAAAAACAAATGCCTTTGGTTTACAAAACCCTCCTCTTTTGTCAAGGTTAACCTACCGATTGTAATTTTAACATTCTGAGTAGTTTAATTTCACAATCGACACAGTTCTCACAATGATGTGTTCTCCTCCGTATATGCATAGATCAACACCACCATCTAAAAAGAAAGTGGGAAAATATTAATCATATATTGCAGTTTACCTGAAAACTTTTTTTAAAATTAAGAATGAACTAATAATGTTGGGCACCTATCAAAACGTACATTTGTTAGTATTATAAATCTTGCCAGAGTAAAAGGCATCGTAAATCTAAGAATTGTTATCGGTTGGTCTTCCATGAGCTGCTGAACAAGCTGACGCCCTCTCTGACGACAGGCGACTGTGCTGCCGGACACCGGAGAGAAAACAAAATGAAGAACAGACAAAATTATGCACTGCCACGTACGTATACGAGGAAATGTAAATTGTACGGAAATAAACAAAGGAAGATGTGTTGGACCAAGGTTATAAACGATGGAATAGTCCAGCAATTATAAAACATCTGTGATTTCAAATAAGTTCAATGTCAATATAAGACAAAATACATCATTCAACCAGTTCATTTTTTCATTATAATTTCATACTCTAACATAATGTGATTATCTAGTTGATTTCTTGCTGTGATCAAATATGCAAATTATGGCAAATTATTCCCAACTGAAAACGAAAAACCAAATGTCCTTTGTAAGGTAGCGTGGGTTGATGCATAATGCCATAGTCAGCCAAAGTACGTAAATGTTAGTCCATGAGAAATTCCAGCGAAAAGTTAGGAACTAAGAGCGCATTCAAATTGATCCGCGGGCTGATGTTCTGTGCTTCCAAGTGGTACACTGTCTGGTTGCAGTGCTTTTGTAATTGATTTACCTGACGACTAGGTTGCACAAAAAAAAAAAAAAAAAAAAGATTAATTAAAAAATAAAGCTGTGCATGGCGTTGTTGTTCAAGGGTTACCTTGAATCTGTTCTTTAACCAGTATTTCTCTCAATATTGTCAAAATGAGAGATGAGAGCACTCCCTAGAATTTAATGCGTCTGTTCGATAGTAGGAATAACGAGCACAGTTATGGTATGTCATGTCTCATAACGGGCGCTGGTTTTCAGGGGATAGCTGCCGTCCATACCTGTCTACTGTGGTCGGTTACAGGGAAAACGACTACATCAACGCTGTTTATGTTAACGTGAGTACCTTGGAACATTCAGTGTTTTTAATAGAAAGATACACCAAAGTTTTTTGTTCTTAAAATGACATAAAATTAAGCCACTATTTAAATTAGAAAATTATGTTAAAAGAACTAGGATCAGTTTCCGAAAGTGATGAAAAACATTGTTTTTAATATACCTAGAGTTTCCATCGAGAAAGGGAGTTCATCGTTACACAGTGGCCTCTTGAGAACACAAAGGACGACATGTGGAGAATGATGTATGATTGTGAAGTGGCGACATTAGTGCTGTTAGATCATATCACCACCAGGTTTGCCTCGTGGGTAAGTGAGGGGGTAGAGAAAGTTGAGGCTAGAGAGTTATGTTTTTCTCAATTATAGCAAAGAGGCCAATGTACCAGTAGAAGAGCAATATTTTATTTAGTTTCATTTTAATTAAATTTCTTACAATTGACTCAGCAGAAACAAAGTCTCGAAACCGTAGAAAGTCCCCGCTGCTTCAGTATGAAAAAAAAAAAAATTCTGGGTCTTCCGGAAGACGATCAGAATTTTTCAACTTCACATTGACGGGCGGCTAATTTTTTTATCCGAAAACGGTCAAGATTTTTCAAGATTTCGTTAACGAACTTCTTGCTTTGTCTGTGACGGTCTTCCGTGACTTTCTTACTCACTTCGGTGACAGTAGATGCCATGAAACTATAGTCGCCTAGTTTGGTTTAAGTCATATTAAAAGCTGATTCACTTTATCAAAATGACACGATTCAGAGCTGGACCTCTGAGGACGTGTGTTTTGACAGCCCCCCCCTTTGCAGAGTGAGGATGCGTTGAAGGTGGGGGGGGGGGGGGTATATGGTCGCTTTCAGAACAGATGATCCTCGGATCTACTGGTCTGCGGATCAAATATGGCGGACCCGACATGGAAGCAAGACCTCCTAATCCCTTAATGGTCTTCCCGCCTTTAAACGCGCCTCCCCTTGGCGGGCCTAGCAATTAAACGCCTCAGCCGAAATTTTAAACTCTAGAATGCTTAATGGCAATCAATCAAAGTGAACAAAAGTAGTATTTATTCTTATTTTTTCTTTAAAAAAAAAAGAAAAATTCCTGAAACTGCCATTATATTGTGGTAGTCTCTTCAAAAGATCTCTTTGGTTTAACCTAGCTGCTATAATGTCCAGTGTCAGGTTATAATTTTTTGGAAAATGATAACTTAACAAAATGTAATATTATTTATTTTAATTGGGCATTCTGGCATTTTATACTAGTTAAATCTTAAAATCGTATATGCAATTGTCATTGTAACATTGGTTGCCATGGCAACAGTGTCAATGTATTTGTTTATTATTCATCTTAAATTAATATATTGAGTACCAAAACAGTGTCTCCCATTTCATATTAGTTGAAAATTTCATTATAATGCGTAAAAAATTCAAATTGTTACCATTGCAACAGCTATCAAAATGGTAGTTTCCATTAGCTATAGATATATTCGAAGCCATTTATTTATTTATTTTTAGTGATGACTCATATTTGTAGCATAAATTGCATCTAAAGAAGGGGAGACCGGGGCTAGTTGGACCCCGGGGTAAGTTCCCCCCCCCCCCCACCCCAATCAATTTATGAAAAAGTAACTACGGAGTGTACAAATTAATCACATCATTTAGTAAAGTGACCATATCCAATAGTGCTAAGAAACTGCGATCCTTTACAATTAAAAATGTGCACCCGGGGCTAGTTTCTCCCTCGGGGCAAGTTGGATCCTCATATGACCACAATCCTTTGCGCGCAACAGAGCTAAAGACCATTCTTAAAACAAACTCAGTGGTTTGTTAAAGGTACATCCGAACCGAGCATAGGTGGAGTGGATGGTTGGATGGATTCCCATTTACACATATAAACCACTTCTACTATTTTCATATACGACTCAAATAAATTCGACATGCGAAGGGATAAACTCAATAGATCACTCGATCAGCAGAAAAAAGAACTAAAGACTGCTTCTTTCTTTAATTTTTGGTCCAAAATTTAACCTACTTTCGTGACCTACTTTTATGCCCCATTGACATACAGCATACATGTAGAATGCTAGCAGAAAAATTTGTTCAAACATCATTTTCAGGTGAAATTATACAATGCCTTTTGGTAATTCTCTTAGTTATACTACTTGAAACTATATGTTGGCACATGGTTGGCTTTTGTGGCCAAAAATACACTTTATATGCATCTTTAAATAATTACCAGTTTAAAACTGAATTTGTTAGTTTCTTTTAAAACGAAAATTTATTATTCGTTTTCATTCATTAAAAACTTGCTTTATACCATTATTAGTTCATTCTTAATTAAAACAAAACAAGTTTAATTAATAGATATTTTGGTTCTTGTAACACATACAGCGTGCCATACAGAAACCTCATTAAATCTGCCTCACTTGAACTACTGTATTTATTCATCAAAGACTCTCAAAATCAATTTAATAAATCAAAAATGTGTAAAAATGTATTTTAAGGCGTTTACATGGGATACTTACTTCATTTTCGTGAACGGTGCCAACTTGTCCCGACCCTGGCGTCAATTGCGTTTTTTGTCAAATTGTGAACCATCTGGCATTATATTTGAGAAATAATGACGATGCATACGTAGCGAAATTCATGGGGCTTACTTTGAAACCGGTTTTGTTACTCTAACTCATTTCTTGTTGGCTCTACAAAGCCAAAAGTGTCTCACTGGGTCAACTAGCCCCAGTCTCCCCTAGCCTTTGAACAGTGGTTTTGAAGCATTACAGTTGAAAAATCAAAATAAAGTATTGATCACTATTGATATTTAGCAACGGTTGCAATGGAAATAATGGATAAATTCCAGAAAATTATATATTGTCAGATTCCTCTTGGCATAGTGTAACTCTAAACTGTCCTCAAAATTTCAATTTTGGTTGATCGGTCAATTTGGTGACACCTTTATCTTTAAAACTGTTAGGCCAACGTAGGCCTATCCTTTCATATAAGACCATTTCAAAATTTTGTGGCCGAGTGGCATTGTCGTAAATTTAGTTACTTTTGATTGGATTACTTGATTTTCAAAAATTAAATTTCTTTGGAAAGCTCTTGAATTTAACTATCAGATAATATCCATTTGGCTGATAGGGGCCTATCAATGTAACTTCGAAAGTTAGCCTGACCTCCGTAATATAAATTATTTTCAGCTTTGTACGTTTACCGACTAAAACTTAATTAAAATCTTTATTAAAAACATTTGAATCCACTTCTGATAAACATCTAATATTTCCAGTGATTCTGATTGTTTATGTAGGCCCTATCTCTTTAAAATCTCTGCACCGGCATCGTTACAGATTAGAACATCCGGCCAGTTTATTACCCAAAGCAATCTAATTTGCATATAAGCGAAAAATGCAGTATATTTCTTGATTTCGAGTTGTGTACACATTTCCCACTATCCTTAAAAAGAAATGCTCCTTTATGCTAAAAAAAACCTTTGAAAGATTTGATCGACACGCGCTATTTATTAATCAAATCATAGTAAAACAACTTCATATCACAGACGAGAATCACGTTTCCACGCCTAAGTCATAAAATTGTTAAATAGCGCTGATAACTGCGCTGGCCCAAAGTAGGTCAATTGCCTGTATAAAAATCCCATACGATTATCGATTTTTTGTGTATGGACCGTTTTAGGGGAGACACATAAAAGAAAACTATCAAAATGCCAGCAAAATATTTAGGACTCTTGGAACCTTTGAAAAGCATAGTATATGAAAAACTTTTGAAGGGCGAAAAATCAATTGGTTTCTCCAGTTTTGCGCCGTAAAAAATTGCAGACATCTTGGCAGAATCTTTATTTCACCAGTCTCTCCCCGAAAAGCTGCAGACCACGTTAACTGCTTCGTCGTAGATAAACGCGTGATATGAACCAGCAAACGATAGTGTGAAAGAAACAAGGGGCAGGGTTAGGCGGATGAAGGGGGGGGGGGGGGTTACTCCCGTCACTTTTTCCAGTCACGTCAGTCTCAAGAGCCGGATGAGTGGAGGGGGGGGGGGGCTTGTGTGTGTGTGTGTGTGTGTGTGTGTGTGTGTGAGAGAGAGAGAGAGAGAAAGA